ATTGATCACTCAACAATTCATCAACGGGCGAAGTCGCATCATCCGGATGGAAGTAGCAATCACGCAATTCATGATGCTTTCTTGCTGCAGTCTCAGAATCCTCGAGATTGAACAATTGCGCAACAGTAGTTCTTCATTTTCTCTCCATGTTGAGGCAGTGACCGCAACGCATTCTCAAGCTCACGCTCCTCATCATTCCGACTCATGCACGCTTTGCAATCCAGTTCTTCTGGCTCTTCGCCAATCTTGGCTCGGACCCTTGGAACAGTGTCATCTTTCTGCTCCATTTCGGCAACATCAGCATTCGCCGGTGAAGGCATTCTGCCAACCATTGGGTCATGAGGACGAGGCGCACTCTTTTGCGCATGCCTGCGCTGAGGTTTGTGCGTCAGTCCAAATTCCACTCGTCCTCACCAATCCTTCTCATCACGCGGTTTGGTATTCGTCGTTGTCAAGAAATTTGCATCTCTGACAGTGACAGTCGAACCGTCTCGATAAACCTTGTGCATCAGTCTTTCGCCAGTAAGTCGAAGCACAGGTGCCGGCATTCCATTTGCCAGCTTAATACGAGGGCCCAACATCTCATTCCTCCAGACCTTCACATGGCGAATCAACCTCAACTCAGTTTCATTCACTTCCCAGGTGTCTTGTCTTCCACCTTCGGAGGATCTCATTCCTTGAGCTGAAGCAATCAAGGCACCAATCTGGCAAAGGTGGTCAGTCGAACAATCATGCACGTCCGACACACCACGCAACTCCACGGCACCAAGCTCTTCTTCAATCCCCGACATTACCTCCGGCAAGCACGTTGCTGCCAATCTTGCCGCGTTCGCAACTTCATAAGGAATCAGAGTCGGCGTCAAACACACCAACATTCCCTGTCGCACAATCGGCACAGGGTTGCCAGTCGGGTCAATCAGAGCCATGTAATCCTTCGCCATAGCAGTCCTGAAATCTTGCAACGACAGTCTGGCAACACTGACCAGTGGAAAAGGTATGCCAGTGCCCACATAGAACTGGACACTCAGTGAGTGGCCATTACCACAGTCAAGCTGCACAATCTTCCGAGCCCCAAACCGAAAATCTTAAGCCCCAAGCTCAAAAACCCGGAGCCCCAAACCCAGAACACTAAGCCCCAAACCCAAAAACCCTAAGCCCCAAACCCAAAACACTAGACCAAAACCCCAAAACACTCTAAGCCCAAACACAAAACTCCAAGCCTTAAACACCAAAACCCTGAAAGCCAAGCCCCAATCCCAAATAAGCCCGATCCCCTAACACCCTAAGCCCGAAACCAAAACCCTAAGCCCCAAACCCCCAAACCCAAAACAGCCTTTGTGTACTGAAACCCAAACCCCAAGTCCAAACACCAAAAACCCTAAGCCCGAAACCCAAAACCCTAAGCGCAAAAATAACCAAACTCCAACTCCTGAACCAAAAACCTTGCCCCAAAACCCAAATCCTAGAAGCCCGAAGCCCAAAACCCTGAGGCCTTCGCCCCCTCAACCACACTACCACCTCCACCGGCCGAGGCCGAGGCGAGTGCGCCCGCCGAGGCCGAGGCCGGCAACAGCGGGAACAACGACAACAGCCCCATTCTCTTCCAGTGACTTTCGGAGGAGATGATCGTGGATGATGGTGGGCGCCCTGCCTCGGGTGCCAGCGGAAGCTCAGCCTCAACACGAAAGGCCGGGGACGTTGGTTTGGATGATGCCGAGCGAGCGGACCATGCAGCCCGCCACGGTGACGATTCTTATGGCAGTGCTGTTCGTGGGGTGGAGAGCGTTGACGGTTTGAGACCGCGGCTGGGCCCGCAGAAGCGAGATGGCAGCCCTGGACTACGAGGCTGACTGGGCTTTCTGTGTGAGCCGAGGATGGCCATCGAGAGCTACGAGAAGCTCACGGTGACCTTCGTGAGAAAGTGGAAGTTTGGAGGTGGTGGCGGCGGTCACGGCTCGTCGCCAGGCAATACAAATGGGCCAGCGAATTGGGGGACGTTCGCCTGCATCGGTCACTCCGTTGTCTAGGCACCTCCTGCTCCTGTCCCAAGAGTGGGGCACTGGCGTCTACGTGTGTGACGTGAAGGATGCCCGCCTCAACGTGGAGCAGCCTGAGGACGAGCCGGTGGTGGTGCTCATCGAAGGCAAGTTTTGGGAACTTGGTCGTGTGCTGCCTGGACAGCGTCGTGGTGCACAAGTGTGGTGGCGGCAGCTGCAGACCGACCTCAGCGAGTGTCACATGGAAGGGCTCCCGGAGGTGCCCACTTTGCTTCGCAGCCTTAAAGGTTGTTAAGGTTTACAGGTGTACGTGGACGATATCATGATGACTGGCGACGACGAGCCCACCAACAAGGTGATCGCCACCCTGGAGGGCAAGTGATGAAGGTGCAGGGCCCCTTCTTTCCTCAACCGGCGCTATACCATTGAGGAAGACCGCTCTATTACGGTGCGGCCCGACGCCCGGTCTGACCTCTTCGAGATGTTGGGCCAACCGCGGGCCCGAAGCACTCCTGGACCAGGTGGCGGCGACAGCCTCTTCCACGTCGACTCCTCCCCGGCCCTCAGCTTCAACGATGGCAAGCTTTTTCGCACCATGGTGGGAAAACTCCTTTACTTGCGGGGAAATCAAGCAGCCCGACGGAGCAGGCTATGAAAACCCTGCGCCACCTGGCCGGCTACCCCCACAGCACCCGCGACTACGGCGTGAACGTCACAGGAACCACCCTGACAAATCCATTTTGCGCGGAAACCACATGGACTACGACAGCTCCAGCCCGGCGCTAATCGAGGCCGTCAGCGATTCCAACTTTGCAAATGACAGGGAGACTCGCCGAAGCTTGTCCTCGGGGCAAGTCTACCTCAACAGCACCTTGGTCTAGAGCTTCGTGAGGAATCAGAAAGTAGTCACCCTCTCCAGCGGCGAGGCGGAACTTGTTGCACTGACGCAAGTGGTGTCGGAGGCCGTGCTCATCAAGACGGCGTGGGCCTTCATCACCGACGGCCCCGTGGAGATGTGATCGCCCGAACGGATTCGAGCGTTGCCCGTGCAATTGCACAGCGCGCCGGTGTGGGCCGGGTCCGGCATTTGCAGACGTCTTGTCTTTGGATACAACGGCCAACAAGGAACTTAAGGTCCTCGCCATCCCCACCGACATCAACCCGGCAGACGCCGGCACAACAGTGCATGGTGGATGGCAGCGGCAAGCCACTTCGTGATGATGGCAAGGCCTCGCTCCCAAAGGGTGCGAAAGCGACCAAGCTGCTGATGATGGTGCAAGGCGACGCAGCTTGAAGGCTGCCAACAACAACGACCGCGGCGGCAACTTCCTGGGCTACCTCATCGAGACTCGAGACCATCTACTTCATTGGCTATAGCTTCTCCTTGGTTGGCGGCGGCTACCTGTACATGCTGTTCGGCATTGTGATGGTGACGGTTGTCTTCTACATGTTGTTTGGGGCAACGTGTCGGCTGACTTTCGTGCTGGAGAACCGCTCTCCTTCTTCAGGGCTTGGGCCTGGCTACGCAGGTCGTTCTTCTGAGGGGGCGTTTCCAGCAAGCGACAACAGAGAGGACGCCACCAACAAAGAGGACGCCACCAATAACGAGGACGCCACCAACAACGAGGACACCACCAACGACGAGGAGGGCGAGTTTGGAACAGCTGTCGGAGATGACCTTCCCACACTGCGACGACGCACGACTCAGGCAGCAGGAACACTTCGTGGTCCACGACGCCCGCGGCTTCTTCTTCTACGGCAAGTTTTTCGAGCACACCTGCGGCGCCTACGGCACGTGCTTCTTCTACCTCTTCAGCGAGCCCAATTACCACTGCGCAAGCGGCCCCTGCACCACGTCCGGTTTCAGCGGCCATTCCGGCACGTGAACCACAACGTGAAGGGCGCCGAGCACTCACAGAGGTGGAGCTGGACACTGACGTGTGGCTTGCGAGCCACAGGGGGTCCGCCTTCCATCGGCGCACCTCCCGAAACTACAGAGGGTCAGCAAGGACCTTCCGCTCGATGCCAGTGAGAGAGGGCCCTTAGTCTGGGAAAGCAGCCCTGCCAGTGCGGCTATTTCGACGTTTACAGGGCCATGCATGGAACGTGATCGGTGCCTACAGCAACCACTTTGGCGGCAGCTTTCGGCGCGGCTGGCAGCAGTGGCGCGGCGAGCTGCCCACAAGGACTGAGTTTCAACCGCGAGCACTGTGTGAATGTAGTCTGAAAGTACAGTTTCCTTCCTCAGCCGAGTTTCTTTTTGTGCAAAGCTTGTAAGAAGCCAAGCAAACTTTAGGGTCCAAGACGGACCGAGCAGCTTTGGAGTGTGATGTGAAATGTCCAGATGCATCACTTAGTGAGTGCGAGGGGGCGTGTAAATGCATGCGCACCCACATCACACGTGTATGCATGCACAGTGATCACACTCTGTCGAGCATAGCATGTTAAAGCAAGCATGCGGAATCCGAGATCTCTGAAGCCCTGGCTGAGTGAGAAAAGTGAGAAACTCCTTTTGAGGTTTTACACACCCATTAACAGCTTTGCCAGTGGCTTGTACAATCCTACATATCGCTTCAACTGCCACGACCAGTCTTCCCATTTCTCCAACTCTCCGTGGTACATTGGGTGCGGGAACAGTTTGATCTCTCCGCCAATCCCTCTAGTTCCGAACTCCAGTCTGTCTCAGTCCCTGATTCCAGGGCCGAAGCTCCGCCACCATGAAAAATTTAACAGTGTAATTCAGTCCTACGGAGTAACCCAAGATCAATCACTTACCCCAGTCACACTCAAGCAGACATTCCTTTGTGACATCAAGCCTTGGTCCAGTCTTGAGCCAATGCCATTCGGCATCGTAGCATTTTCTAATTCATCAAGAACATTAAGGTGTGCATTGGGCTCATGTCATTTAACAGAGAAAGAGACAGAGAGAGAGAGAGAGAGAGTGAGGGAGGGAGGGAGGGAGGGAGGGAGGGAGAAAGAGAGAGAGCGAGAGAAACTTCTGAGGTGCAGCAGGGCTCGAGATCCACCTTCGGGATCTTCGTCGGCGAGGCGCGCAGAGCGCTCCAGTGCGGCAATTGTTCTCCGGGCCATTCGGAGGATGTGAAGACGCAAGCAGGCACGTGCACGTGGTGCAGGGTGTCGTGGCATCGTGGCAGTGTCGTGTCCTGTCTCAGGCCCTGACCTGAAGGCACTGCGTTTTGGAGCGCGCCCGCTGTACCCGGGCCTCGCGATGCCTCTTTCGCTTCTTTCGCTGGTTGGCCTGGGCAGGCGCTCATCGCTTCCCACAAGCAGACGCTTGGCTGCGCTTGGCTGCGCTTGCCGCTTGCGCTGCGAGCACAGCCGAGCCGACGCTGCCTACGCTGCCGCTGCTTGGAAGGCAAGCTGCGTACATCGACGCCTTGCACGAGGAACTCCGTCGTCTGAACACCCCGTCGGGATGCTCAGTACTCAGCAAATCGGAATGTGCATCCAGCTTTGCAGATTGAAGGTCTTATCGGCCTCTTGCAGCCAGCATGGCGCAGCCGATTGGTCCTGCTACCGTGCGGAGCTCGAGAAAGGCTCCCGGGAAGTCACAACTCTGAAAGATGTCTGTCAGCCCGGCTCCTTTGCGGTGCCCAGACAGGGACCAGTCCGGGACCCAGCAGATCAGAAACGGGAACAGCGCACAGCGGTGTCGCGGCCGGAGGCGCCTGGCTACGGTGCCTTCGGTGCGTCCGCAGCCAAGCGGAGCGCAGCAAAGCGACGCTGCGTCCCGACATGGCCCTTCAGGCCCGTGCCATCCTCGATGGCATGCTCCTTAATTAGCCCGTGCCCGTGCGAAGTTTCGCAAAGCCGCTGAATACCTTGAGATTGGTCGAGGCACCTCATTGAAGAGCGGGACCATGGCAACTGTTCACATCCTGCTTTTTCGCCTTCAGTGTCACCGCATATGCTGACCGGACTGTGAATGCTGGGTACAACTGTACAACTAGCTCTGTACGTGAAGTGCGGACGGCATACGGCCACGGGACGGCAAACAAGCCCCTGTTCAAATACCACGGACATGGTCATTTACCCTCTTTGCTAGGTCTCTGAGATGAGATGCCTGCAAACAGGCTGCTGAGAGGGCGAAGACGATCTCAAAGTGCAGCTACAATGGTCTGAATATGTCTGAATCATGGCTGCTCATTACGCTGGTCGAATCGTATTCATGGTGTTGCTGCACCGCGTCCTTCTGTGCCTTCCGTTTCCTGGAGTATTTCCATTATGCTCGGGGCACAGCACTCGATTGAAGCATGCGCTGGGATGAGAAACAGCATAAATCTGCAGCCTTGTGATCTCCCCCTTTGCCCGAACTCTCGAGAGATCTCGAGAGAAACAGTTTGTGGTATTCCTTCACGGTGCGGTGTTGAATCCTGGATAACCAAACACCCAGTCAGAGTTTAACAGCAGTCTGCGCTGAGTCTCTTCCTGACATTTCCTGATGCGTCTTGCTGACATGGCAGGAGGTTTGGCTGGACTGAATAGGGAATTCGGCTCTCCAAGGATGTTGGGAGTTACGAGTTTGCTTCAGATTTGCATTCCGGAATGGTGTTGTCCAGGAAGCATATTGTTGCGTGTGTCTTTGCCACACAGCGCCCCGCAACCACTCCCCACTACAACCGGAACCCAGATACCACAACTAGAATTTAAAAGGTCTACATGACCAAGACTCGGAAACGATTGCTTTAGGCTTGTCCCATGGCTTCGGCACGGAAACTTCGAAGATGTGGCTGTGGCGGCAGTCTGGTAAGTCAGGCTCGCACTCATGGCTCGAATGGCAGCCGCTCAGACTTGGGAGAAGCAATGATGCTGAGCAGGGCACGGCGGGGGCGAGAGCGAGGAGGAGCACACCGACGAAGAGGACTCCGAGCTGCGCTTTTGTGTTTCATTCTCCTCATGCTTATATGCTTGCTGCTCCAAAGGTGGAGCCCCAGCGCCCTGCGCATAGCGACGTCTCTCAGAGCACCCAGAAATCAGAAATCGCCTAAGTGCGTGGCGCAGCCCAGACACCAAGCAGAAGCAGAGGTCGCAGAGGTCGCAAGTTCCTGGCTCGCAGCCCCCCGAGCCCTGCTCAGCCTTGCGGCTCCAAGCCGGACGACCGCCCGCACTGTCCTGGCCTTGCAGGCGATGGAGCTGCACATCTAGGCGCACGGGTCACGGAGTGAAGAAAAGCATGTGCAACGTAAAGCGAGCAGGCGCGCGCGAGCAGTGCTGCTCCGCTTGCTTTGCGCTCCTTTGCCAGCGCCTCCGAGAGGCACAGGAGAAGAAGCTTTGCTCAGCTTCCAGAGCATTGAAGAGAGCACGCTCGCAGGCAGCGCGCTTGCTTGTGCTTGCTTTCGCTTGCTTTCGCTTGCTTGTGCTTGGTGTCCCGAGCGAGGCTGTTCGAACTCGAAGTTATCGAAGCTTGAAAGCTTGAAGTTAGAAAGTTTCAATCTTTGAAGGTTCGAAGGTTTGACAGGCGCAAACGAGCCGAGCGGGCATCAACAAATGAAATTTCAAAGTCGAAAATTACCGTCGAACTTTCGAGCTGTAATGGCTGCTTCGACCTCAAGCTTCAGAGCCCGAAGGTTTCACAGTTTTACGTTTGAGAGGGAGAGTTGGAGATTTGTGGACGTTTGATTGTTCTGAGATTGTAAGGTTGGCTTCAGGTTCGGTCTCCGGCTAGCCACAGAGGTCGATAGCTTGAGACTTCGGAAGATTCAATCTCTGAAAGACTTGGAGTTCGAAAGTTTGGAGAGTTTGAAAGCGTGAACGGCACGAAGGCTCGCGAGCTTGAGAGTTCGAGGGATTGAAATTGACAAAAGGTTGAAGAGTGAAATGCATCGAGCTCGAAAGTTCGAAGGTTCGCTAATTGTCGGGCTCGAAAGTTTGAGAGTTCGAACGGTTGATTGTTTTTGAAAGACCCGACATGCGGTGCGTGTGTGTGAACGTTGCTCACAAGAATAAGGTGTTACAGACCCTGTTCGCACCCTCTGAAGATCCTTATGGAAACCCATGTAGCAAGTGCGAAAGTTGCGGGTAGTGCCTGACCCGTTAGATCTAGCCGAAAGGTTTCTCTGTCATGTTCAGATGCAGATGCTGCTGCTTGTTTGAAGCCATGCGGCTCTCGGTAGCATTACTAAAAAGGTGCATTCCGCAGTGCGTTCGAACTTTAGCTTGCAGATTTCGGCAGCTATTCGCAGCAAGAACGTTGTTTATGCAGACATGATTGAAACCATCCAGGCCCCCGCGCAACAGGCCGTACGGAGGCAGACCGGTTCTCCTGATTCGTAAGACCTGAACCTAAACCACCAAGCCTAAGCCAGCATTTTCGGATATGGAGATACTTGACGAGCAACACTGCTAGGACGCTAATGAAGGCATCTGTCATCTCACTTCCCTAGATTCGAAACATGAGCTCAAACGCCATAAAGTCAACATGCTTACGAACTCAAACTTCCAATCTGTTCAACTTCAAAATTTTCTGACCTTCAAGCTCTCTTTCGAACTTTCAGTGCCTCTCAAACTCTCAAACTGTCGAAGATTGAAATTTCCTATGTTTTGGAACCTTCAACCTTTGAAGCCTTGGATACTTCAAACTTTCAAGCTCGCTGGTTGCAAACCTTCCAACTTCCAAACTCCAACCTCCCAAACCTTCAAACTACAGCCCTGCGACAGTCTCCGTGACATCGCTGCGGCTTCAAATTCCTTTCGAGCTGGATTCGCATTCGTACCTACAAACTCCAAACTCGAACTCAGTTTCAGACTCGACCCGAAACTTTCATAAGCTTCCAAGCCTCAAACTTTTAACTTTGAAAAAGCTTTCAAACTGTCAAACTCTCCAATCTCGGCCTACAATTGATATGTTCAAACTTTCACTGATTCGAGTGCGAGAAACCGTACTCGTGACACCTGTCCCCTTTCTTGTACTTGGCTTCTTCAAGCCGAAGGTCCAGCAGCTGACGGCACAGCTGGGCCTTAAGGCGACTAACTTCGTCCCGTCCTCCCTCGCTCGATATGCTTTGCGCAGCCCAGGACATCGAGCGCGCTCGGCTGGAGACCCAGGCCTGCAGACTCTGTGGACCCAGCCCCCACTTCGCACTTTCAGCGGGCTTTTTGCTTAGGCTTAGATCTTGAACCGACTGACCTATCTCTAGGGTTCACTTTTTGGAAACGTGTTGGTCGAGTTTCTTCCTTTCTTTGGTGAGACTCTGCTCGATGCCACCTTGGTTCGGAAAGCCCCTAGAAAGTTCTTGTTGCCGTCGTCTTGTGATCGCAAACTGTGACACTGGACGTGATCTTGGGAACAAGTCGCAAAGAATCGCAAGCCTGCGGGCTACATGCTGCTTGTGTGAATCGAGCACTGGGCACTACGTCAGCTCAAACCGCAGATAAGTAGCAAGCTCTTCCTCGTTGTGGCACAGGTGGCTCAGTTCCGTACCCTCCTCGTGGAGAAGGCCTGTTGTCCTCGTCTTCTCGCCTTCGCTTTCTTCCTCCCTCGCACCTCTCTCCCGCCCGCTCTCTCTGAGGAGCGCCGGCTTCACAGGGCCCTGGATGCGCTCGAGGCGGAGGCGCTCGGGCGGAAGCACCGCCGCTGCCGGAGGACTGCCGGGGCGCTCGAAAGGTCGGGAGCCGCAGCTAAGAAAATCGGCTCGCACCGCAGCAGAAGCAAAGCCGAAACTGTGAAACTGGCAGCCATTTTGGCCGGTGCATTGTCGTGCCAGCTCCGAGCATGATTTCAATCCTCTGCGCGTTGCACATCTGAGCGATGGTACAGCGAGATGCGGGTGTTGGTCCTCCAGACCCCAAGGCTAACATATGTACAGACTGTCGATATTTTACTACGAGAGACCCGGGGTCGTCGAGTCGATCTGGCCGTTTTGCCAGAATTCTCTCTAGATCACCCTTTGCAATGTACAAATTACGGGGAGCTCTCCTATCACAACGTGGCCATCATGATGTTGGCTCGGCTTGCGAAGCAACGATCCATTTACATCGTTCTGGGCAGCGTGGAGGAGCGGTGTGAGGCGCCCGAGGAGCGGGTCTACGACACTTGCGTGACTTTTGATCCCTCGGGAGACTTTCGACAGCACCGAAAGGGCAGCGGAGCTTTCGCGAGCTTCGAGATGGACGGCGTGGGAGTCGTAGGGCTCCTGATCGGAAGCGAGGTCGAGGACCCCCAGAAGTGGTCGCAGCTGCTGGCTCTCTCCCCTTCGCTACTGCTAAATCCCTGCTCGGCCCCCTTGCAGCTGGACCAGGCCCTGGCCAAGGTGCAACCTCGAAAGCCATCCCTTCTGCCGCTTCTGCCTTCTCTGCCTTCGCTTGCAAGCAGGCGCACCCGGAGTTGCAAGTGGCGGCCTGGCATCAAGGCTTCAGGCGCCGTGCTTCCGTCGTCTGCTGTATGATGGTTTGCTCTGTGTGTGCAGCCTGAAATGTTTGTTTCGCTCCGGAGGTGGATCGAGTCGTTGGTGGCGGCACGGCTTCGGGGCGTCGGAAGGCCTGTCAGTTCCAATGCACTTGTAGCTCATTCGAAGCTGTCTCTACCCGAAATCACGGGCAACCGCCCCACGTCCATGGCTCTTCGGCTCGAATGCTCGGAAGCTATGCTTCTGGTCCAGTGCAGGCCAGCCCAGAGATGTGCAGCATGGAATGACAGAGCCTTCAGAGTGGGAGCGCACCGGGGAAGGAAGCGCTGCGACCATCCAGCCTTAGGTTTTGCGCTGAAGCTGATTTGCAAGAAAGGGAAGGGTCCGACTCGCCAAGAAGGCGTACTTAAGCCGCACGCTGCCCTGTTCCGCCTGCGAGCCTGGCGCCATGAACACATTCCTTGCTGGTGCCAGGTGCTCGCTTCGAGGAAATTCTCAGGCCTCCCGCAAAGCTGACCCTGTAGTTCGCAGAGTCTCTCCGCGTATTTGCAGACACTGACCTTAGGCCCGAGGCCCTAAGCCTTTGTCAGCGTCCTTCCGACGCAGCAGTGGCCCCACACGACTTTGCGCAACTATCCGCCCAAGATTCGCGCGATGCCTTTGATCCATATCATCACCACTTTCGAAGGTGTGGTACAACAAGCACACATGGAATACATCCGTTTTTGATTTAACAGTCTGGTCGGAACTGGCATCAACCATGACTTACATTCACCAGTTGCCAGTGGATTTCCACCAGCAGCACCACCCCTGGGTTCGACAATGCGAACAGATTGTCGTCATCGGCTGGCGCAGCCGTTCTGTAAATCCGCTCGTGATGTCGAAGGAATGGGAAGTGGCGTCGGGTCAAACACTCCGCCTGCAACCGCGACCGTGCGACAGTGCCCTTGACAGTGCTGCTTTCGAGACCGCGGGAGACAGAAAGTAACCTCCCCTGGTTGCTTGCTTCATTTCCTCAACTTCCAGCCGGGCAGACAGCTGAGCGCATGGTTTCTGGATGCTGCAAGATGTGCGAGAGCACAGGAGAATCACAGGAGAAACAACGTCCCTGCCTTTGGACTCCGGCCGCTGGACTGGAAGCTTCGTCAACAGTTGCTGGCGAAGCATTGGAGCGAACGCTTCAAGCAGTTCCACGGGTTTCGACGCCACAAGATTTGGGTCGGGCATCTCACCACATCCACGCGCAACTTCCATGAACTCCCGGGAATTGTCTCTAGGGTTTGGCATATTTTGGATATGTGCTGCAACACAGTGTTATTCATGCCGTATTCATGCTGTAGTTGAGTCCTGTATCGGTAGGAGTCATGCCTTTGTTTGGACTTATTTCAGAGGGATTCATGCTTCGTTTGACGGATTCGGCCGAATTCTTGTAATATATGCGGCCCTGCAATGGGGCTTATTCCGCAAACGTTGAAAGACGAGGATGGCTGGACATCCGACACTACCTCCGCTTTGCCAGGCGCCCATGGACCTCTGAGCATGACACCCGAACAAAAATGCCCAAGCCAAGATTTGAGGCGGTGCAATCGGTGGAATTTTTTCAGTGCAACCTTGTTGCAAGACCTGTTCAGGCATCATGCCAAGGGACATTCAGCAACAAGCCTGGCTTTGGGCCGCTATAATCTCTCGAATTCAACCTACGAACTTACCCCTTCTGTGCAGATTGCAAAGAGGTGCGGTGCTGGGTTGCCAGCAGTTTCCATGTCTACGTTCGTGTACAGATACAGGTAGCAATTTAGATCGACGCCAAACTTCCGAAACTAGAAAAGCCGTCAGTCTGACTCCGAAAGTCTGCAAGGTGTGCTCCCGGCTTGCATATCACGTCACTTGAGGCAGCCTGTGGCCTTCGTCCGGGTAGATGCGCCTCTGCGTCAAGGTGGTGCCGGGCAATCGCTGCTGGTGGAATCGCACCGATCTATCCTTTGCCCAAGCTGGGATCCGTGCACCTTCGTTCTGGAGCCAACCCTCACTGTCGAGGAGTTTGCTTCTCGGAAGTTGCCCAAGTGGCGGGAGCTGACTACAGAGGAGATTCTTTCGACCAAGGACCGGGAACTCCTAAAGCTGGACCGCGTGGAGACGGGGCCCCGCTACCACGTTTGGACGTTTACGAAGAATGCGGCCTTGTCGGCGTCTGCAAGCGACTGGACGGGTCTCTGGGATCCGGCCGAGGAAGAGGTGCCTCCAGACCATCTTACGGAGGCAGAAAAGGGGTGCATGCAGCGCAACGCCTCGGCACTCCTGCTTCCACTCCGGAGTCCGGACAGACCACTCTATGTGATCGCCGAGAGAGGTGGCCTCATCACTCTTTGGGACCTTCGCCATCGCTGTGCCTGGCAGAGCTTCCGCGTGAGTGCGGAGGCATCACCTCTTAGGCGACGTTCCTTGGTTTCCGGGCGGGGAGTCGAGGCCTCCCTCGGGCTGCAGGTTGCAGCTCTGGGGCCAGGCGGGCCAGGCGGGCCAGGGGCTGCAGGAAGCCACTTCGCAGTGGCAGGGAGCCTTCCAAGCGGAGCGCTCCTTTTTCAGCTCTTCGAAGTTCGAAGTGTCGGTCCTGAGCGTGTGCAGCAGCTGCAGCAGCTGCAGCTCTCTCCGGTAGAGCTGCCGTGGCATCAGTGGCCTCGCTGGCCTTGGGATCTCCAGTGCCTCGGCTCTCCGCACTTCGAAGGCGCTGCTGAAAGCTTTTTGGACAGCTGAGGCGGTCGAGTGTCGGCGCGTCCCTCGATCCCTTGGTGGAAGTCCGCTTCGTTTGTGCTGGCCCCCAGGGCCCGCAGGGCTCGACGACGCTTGTGGCCATTGCTGCGGCGGAAGGCCGACCCGAAGTCGCGCTGCTGCTGGACGCCCAAACTAATTTTTGGCGAGAGGGCAGCTCTCGCCTCTCTCCCCAGCTCTCGCCTCTCTCTCCCGTCTATCTCTCTCTCTCGCTGACTTTGGTGGACTCTCGCTCTCTCCGCAGGACTTGGAAGGCTGCTCCGTGAAGGTGATTGATGTGTACCGCGGTGGGCCGCCGCCAAGGTCCAACTGGACGGACGAGGCGTTCTTTCCCAGGCTTGGGCCGGCCCCGGCCCCGCCGCTCAGGGAGGCCCAGGAGGCTGAGACAGCAGAGATGGACAGGCTGGTGATGGTCACGAGCTTCGAGGGTCAGAGCTTCCAAGAGGACCGTTTCAACGACCGGAGTTCGGGATTGCTGTGTTTGTGGAAGAGCAACCGGCTATGCATTTTGAGCTTCTCTGACTGGAGGGTCTATGATCAGATGCTATTGGGTGACTCCGCATCAAGGCAGACTCGCATGGACAGACCCCTCTGCGCTGCCCTCCTCCCCACTGGTGATGCTAGCAGCGGAGGCTGTGGTCTGGTCGTCTCCTATGCCTCCATGATCATACGATGGTGGCAGGTATCTCTACATACCAAAATCCAGCAGGCTTGCCTGGTGCTTCATTATCCTGTGACTCATTTGGCCGCATCGAGCTGTGAGAAGAGTCCGTTACAGAAACATGAGGCCAGGGATACCAGGGCCAGGGCGAGAGAAACGGCGAGTCACACGGTCACGGGGCGGAGCTCCTCCAAAGCACGCGAGAGCCGCAGCAGCCGTGGCAGCAGCCGTGGCAGCAGCCGTGGGCGCTGCGGCTCAAGTCCCGCCTTGGAGGCCCACAGCGGAGCCGTCGCTCTGGCCGAGTTTTCGGAGCTCGGTTTGAGGGAGAGCAGTGGCCGCATCCTCGTAGCAGCCATGGACGAGACCCGAGCTGTGAGCCTCTTTCTTGGCCACGGTGCAAGCATCGAACGTGTGTACCGCGTGGATGCAACCTGGGGTACCTCCGTCGTGGATGGGATCTGGATCATGGACACACACTTCGCACTTCTGCTGAGGAGCGGCGAGGTCCGGCACATCGAGTTCGACTTCAACGGAGAGCTAATGGCCATTGGAGAGATCTTCGCTTGACCGTGGCTCTAAGACCGCCCGCCAAAACAGTTCTGACGCAGCTTCGACTTGCTGCCACGATGCATGACCTCACGTCACGCTGGACAAAGCATTCGGCGTGCACGCATTGCAAGATGCCGTGCTGCTGAAAGAGATGCAGGTGCAAGGAGGCTCTGATGCGTTCAGTGCTTGAAGCCAGGTGTCTTTCATGTTTTGCCCGAGGTGCCTGCTCCGTGCCAGACGGAAGATGATGGCCAATTCAGCAGCTTGGTAGAATCCTGGGTCCTACAGACGGAAGCACCAAACCGGCTCTGTCTGGTCGCGAGCAACATGCTCCTTAAATCTCCGTGACAGGTGTTCCTTACGCTCTTGTCGAGCAGCTGACGGCCGCGCTGCAGCACGCGCAGAGGCAACGACAAAGCACACTGCCAGTCTTTGTCGGGTAGCTCTCTTTGGCCAGGCAGTCTGCCGCCTTCGCCATGGAGCTGACGAGGGAACGTCGACAAAGAGAGCAGTGCCGAGCTCGGACCTCGAACCAGCAGGGAAGGGCAGCTGTACGATTTTCCGCCGTAGGCTTGAGACCGAGCTGTCGAAGACTCACTGCAGCTTCGAGATGGCGAGACGCTGCAAGGACACTCTGCCCGGTGAAGACAGATTCCCTTTGCAACCGGCCCAAGACCTGCAGAGAAGGAGTCAATCCGCCTACATTGAGCAACCAAAGGTTTAAGTCGGAAACACCACAGCAACATCAGCGCGCGCTTCACCTTTTGAATCTCATTGCGAAACGTGTGCATGACGACTAGATGATCGCACCACTTTAGCTGCGTGCTTCTCAGGATTCCACAGCGGGATCCAACCATAAACCTGCAACACAACACGACGGATGCCCGATGTTGCCAGCATGGAGTAACCATCTGGACCAAGCCCTTCTGAAGTCTCTGGAGTTCCACGTGTGCAGGCAACGATTTTGAAATCTGAAAACATGTCTTTTCACCCGATGCCGTTTTGCGGCTTTGAGTCACAGCGAGTGATTAGTAGCGGAGCAAGTATGAAGCGGAGCAGGTATCCTTCGGAGCCTGCCGAGCGGCGGGGCGAGCACTGACAGGATCGAGGCCCGGGCGAGCCCATGACCTTTGACCTGCTTCTGATTGACCAAACAATGAGCCTGGCTGGCCGGATCTTACATTGACTTCGATGCGGTTTTAACTCCACGAAGACGGCATCACAAACTCTACGGAACACGCTATCAGGGCGAATGCCAAAGCAGACAAGATTTGTCGAGCCAGAGGACTCGCACTCCGACGAGGTCGAGGCTGCTGCTAGCCAGGCCCGCTGCAGCCAGTGCTCCCGAACCTTCCGAGGACGGGCCATCTGCCGCTGCCAGCACGGCGGCGTGATCAGAGACCGCTTGCTGGCCAAGGTGAGTGACAGTCCAGCAGCCCGGTGCTTAGCCCGGGCCTGTTAACACTCGAAACGAAGAACAGACAGTCGAGAGTGACACTGTGGCCAAAGCGGGACCTCAAGGCTGACCAAATGCCATCCAAGATGGAAACCCAGCGGGCCAACCAATTCATACGAATATGCCACAAGGCGGCCCCATGTTTGGTCGTCTTGGTGCCAAAGTGCAATGCCTGGAAGTGAAAACGCGCTAGCGCAAAGAGATGACCAGTGGATGTGCTGTGCGTCGCTGAACCTTAAGTTGGCGCCAAATCAGACGAGGAAGCTTGTGTCCACATTTGAGCCGTCAGCCGAAAGGATGCCAGAAGCAAAGCTGTAAAGGTCCGGCATGACCGCGATTTTTAAAAGCTTCTGAAAACATGGAAGGGCTTTAAGCACATCCTCAGCGTTTGAAAGCGGTTCGTTTTCTGAAGCTCGAGACAAAGCGAGAAAGGTGTCGAGGAACGGGCCTTCACAAGCCGCAGGCTTCAATATACGAGGACTCATACTGCGAAAACCAAAGTCCAGAAAGCGGTGTTTTCCTTGCATGGCAAGATGAGCAACCTCTCGGTGAGGAGGCGCCCGCTGCAGTGCCCAAGGCTAAGCCAGCCTTTCACTTTGCGTGCAGTCAGGCTCGCTGTCTTGCTTGCTCGTCTGGGGTTGCGCACTCCTGCATTTCGCCGCAAGCAATTACTGCACTGCCGGCGGCGAATAAGGCGCCCCGTCCGCCGCTTGTTATCGACGATCCAGTGTGAACCCAGCTACGCCCGCCAGCCAGCCACGCGCGCACTTCCAAGGCCACTGCCCCTGGCTACTGAAAAACGAGCCTCGCGAAAGGGTTGGCGCCGTACTTCGCGATGGCCAAGGAGCTCCCACTTTGAGTGGGCTGTTGTTGGCCATCTTCTCCATGAACTTCTTCTTCTCCTGTTCAGGAGGAGAAGCGAGGAGGCGATGGCAGTAGTCGCCGCTAAGCTGAGCCATTGCCCCAGCTGGCATGACCTCAAAACAATTGCCGGGCCTCTTCATTTTGCTGGGAAGCGGTCACTGAATGGCTCAGCACAAACCCGAACGCATGCCCAGCGCTTGCATAAGCGGTACTTCTCGAGCGTGTGGACAAAAGTGGAAAATTCCGAGATGCCCCACAAGCTGGGTGGCGTCGAGTATCATCGAGCGCTACAGTCGGGATTGATGCACGCTAAGCCAACCATGCGAGAAAAAGGATGGGGCCGGGAAAGCTGCTCGCGCCGAAGCGGACGGCATTCGGACCTGGAGCAGCTGCCTTCGCTGAAGCGGGTGCAGCAGCATCTCCGGCTCTTTCCAGCGCAACCGTACTGCTGATACTGGTGAAGCGGGGGTTGCCGAGGCTACCGGTGCCTCAGGTAAGTGGTCGGCCTCAGCCGGAACATCATCCGAGGTGGACTGAGCCAGCAAGTTGTCCATCACCGCCGCCGGGTCCACTGCACGGTTGCACTCCGCTTGCGAAACCAGCACAGTTACTGCTGTGACTGCAAATCAAGGCAGAAAGGGTGCCGCCTCCTCAGCAGCTTGGGCCAACCAAGAACGAGCTCGGAACCCGCTTCCAGTTGGACCTTGCAGTCATAGAAGCCCGCTTACTCCGGCTGAGGCAACTTTCGGGCCAGCTAATCCTGGACAAAGCAGCCCACTTCTCGGGAGTACAGAATTGGGGTCACGGTGCCTGGAACTGATTTTTGGGCAGGCTGTGTCGATCCATTCCCCACTTGGAATAGGCACAAGGTGCCGGCAATGAAGCAGCTCGAGCGATCGTTTCCCGCTTGGCAAAAGACCCGCTTGCGTCCTCAGCGACTGGCATGCAGCTCACGCGTAAAACCCTCCACTGCTTTTTAAATCGGCTCGAGCACACGCTTTGTGTCTAGCGATCGGGGAGGGCAGCTGCCTTGCTTTCAGCGGTGCTCGCTTGCGGCTGCAAACAACAGCCATCGTAGGCACAAGTGCCACCGCTTCCCCGAACTGTCACTCTATGCAAACCTCAGGTCGCTTGGCACCTCCTGGTCACCGACTCAGCATCACCTGCTCATAGTCACAGCTCTAGTACGTTCTTTACAAGTCACTTCGCCCGGCCAGGTACAATGAGCGACTACGTGCCCGCCGACGTCTCGGCACAACAGTGCAACTCATCAGCAGAACTGGAGGAGATGATGCTTGACTTTGAATTTGCAGGAGTCACGGACGCCTCCGAACAATTCGTGCTTATTCGGGCCGCCTTGCGACTTCTTCTCAGTCGACGCAGAACACTGGAGTCACTGGAGTCCTTGCCCTCCTTGGGAGCAGGTGCAGCAGCTTCAGCTCCGTTGGCCGCACCCGGACGGCCCCGCTCTTCACCGCTGTGGCGTTTACATCATGGTACGAGAGCTGGCCGGCTCCTTGAAACGCTCCGCAAGTATTTTGAAGAAGATGATCTCACTGAGCTTTTGGACACTGATCCCCCAGCGCACGACTTCTCGCGCTTACCACAAAACTGATGGCGCGTAAAGAAACCCGCTGGCTGTCATGGAAGTTCCTGAGGCGCCAAAGCCCAGGCCAGGAAACAATCCCGCTTCTCCGACCTCAGCGACCTCCTGCTCGATGAAGGACCGTCTCGCGACACACATGACGGCCCTGCTTCGTATGGTCTGATCAGCCAGCTGCTTACACTGGCATCTATCGCCTTCGCTCTTTGTCAAGGAGCCCACCTCGGCTCTTTGAACATGTACAACAAGAAGTTCCTGCGCCTTACTTTTTTACCAACAATATGAGTCAGCGTCTAACCTGCGAGGACCCAGCTCTCTGGAGGCACAGTCTCCCGACAAACGAGTGTGGGAGCCAACCAACACGGTTGGAAGCTTGACGACGCTTCGCGCGACATTTCCGAGATACGCTCTGGCCAGACTCTGACCTAAGCAGCTTGCTCACGCCCGGCCATTCAACAAGAAGCTTTGAGGCATGCCGGACACATGGCGACAGCGTACCTCGGGGCCAGCGTCCAGAGGGCACAGGCGACAAGGGTGAGCGGCTAGTGCATGGGGGCAAACGTAACAAAGGCAACGACAAGAACAAGAACCAGACATTTTCTGGTAATTGGCTTTCTACTTTCTATGATTTCACGGAGGGCAAGCGACAAACGCTTTGTATGGGGTACCAGAGCGGTCAACGCAAGGACCCATCCAATTGTAGGTATCTCCATCCGCGCTGTGCCCAAAGCCGACGGCACCACTTGTGGTGGCAATCGCTCGGCATCTCACATGCAGAATCCCGACATGTGAACGAACCCGGAACCCGGAACCCGGGGCCCGAACGCCTTGGCGAAAGAAAACGATATCCCCACGGAAAGTCGCATCCATCCTTTGCAGGAGTACGCGGCCATGTCGGAAATGTCTTTTCTCAGATGCCAGCCGAGTACCTTTAGCTGCTTGCAGAATGCTTCGGCAAGGCCGTTCTCCCGCTTTTTGCCCTGCTGCGCCGTGTTCACTGAGCTTCGTTTTGCAAAGCATATCGCGCAAGCCCAGGTCAGCACCCCCTTTGCTTGGTGCTCGAGGCGGCGGTGGCATTTACTCGCTCCCCGACTGGTCCTACGGACCCCGCTACGCTGAGGACACGCGTCGTGATCTTCGACACGAATGGCGGTAGTGGTTTCCGGAGAAGCATATGCCTGCACGCCCAGCTCAGCATGCATCTGAGAACAAGGCCACCCCGCTTTTCAGCGAAGGAGAAGCCTCCTACAACTTTCGGGAGGAGTGCCGCCGTAAATAGGGGCTCCAGGACTCCAGGCACGATGGGTCGTTGTCAAGGGGGGACGGAGTCCCAGTTCGCGCGGCCCGAGATGTTGAGGTGCCCGGCATTCAGGGAAGTGCAGGGCTCAAGCGGGCGGGCTTAGGAGCCTCACAGGCTTCCGAATGCCCACCTAAGCTTACGTGAAGCTGTGCAACACGGCGCTCCAGAGAGCTTCCCTCAAATGGCTCTATGGCACCGCAGACCGCAGGCTCGACAGAGCCCAGCCATCATAGCAGCGTGTGCAACCCTTCGAAACGCAAGTCGAGCCCGCACTTTGCAAGGCTTAGAGGGAGGGACGCGCTGGAAGCATCCGGGAAAAGGCACCGGCACGGAAAGAGAGCCTGGGCAGGTGCAGAGGGCAGCTCTGCGAGTTCACTTTCACCTTTAGCTTTCGCCTCTGGTGCAGCCTGCAAGTGCTTTTGCACACGACAGCTCCGTTGGACTTCCGAACTTTGGTCGACAAAATCATGGAAATTCTTGAACAGAATATGACTGGCTGAGCAGTGACTGCGTCGGGCGGCATGTGTCACCGCTCACGCTTCCGGCCCTTCCCGCCCTTTGTGCTGAGTTCGATACGAGTGCATACAAAATCGTACAGATGCCTTCACTTCTCCTTAGCTTTCGCCTTTGGTGCAATCTGCACGTGCTTTTGCTCACGACAGCTCTGTTGGACCTCCGAACTCTGGTTAAAAAGTGAGCTGCAAGGAAAACCAGTGATGTGCCGGCTTGCTTTGCAGACAAAGGCAAGTACGTCATTTCGATCTTGCAGCAGGGGTACCATCCATTTGCTGTGCGTGATGGTCCAACGAAGCGGCCATTGCCAACGCGTATAAATGGGCCTGACGTACCTGCCAGCGTGCTTATGACATCGTGAACATAACCAGGCAACTAGCATCATCGCTGTGTATGGTTATCCGCGTTGTTGCTTTCTAACCATAGCACACGGTCAGTGATTGCACATGTCAGGATTCAAGATTTCCGGCTTGCTGACAGTGCATAATCAACATGTACCGTTGCAGCAACCTGAGCCATGTTCGATATTTTCGTGTGTGTGCGTGTGTGTGTGTGTGTGTGTGTGTGTGTGTGAACCTCCCTAGCACATGGGAGCAGAGGGTCACTCCTTTCCGTTGGATCTGACACATTCTTGCAATACATTTTCACTTAAACACATGAAAGTTTGCAGGGGACCACCGAGGCCTCCGGGGAGCGGTGGTCAACGAAGACCTTCCCGGAAAGCCTGTGAAAACGTGACTGCTTTTGCCACCTTCATTGCACCTGGGGCGGTCGTGCCAGCTGGTGGATGAGGAGTGGAAAGACAACGAGGACGAGGACAACGACGACGAACTTTTCATATGCACACCACAAGCATACCTGCGCAACTTTCGGCAGCCCCCTGTGGTGCCAAGATTAGCTCAAGGACAGGCCCCCTGTGGTGTCCAGATTAGACAACAACATACAACATACTCTCCTCTTCTTGCTCTCTTGGCCGAATCCATCAGTGTGACCAGCGTGGGTCTTGAGACTCCAGAGCAACGGCTTTCCGTCATGGCGCCGTGGTGACCCTCCGGGGAGACCGGTGATGAACCGGGTGTTCAGCCTTCGTTCAGACTGTTCAGAATCTCCCGATGCTACTTTATCTCTCTCTCTCTGATGCCGGCATGTGAGTCTGACATGAGTGCAGGTGCAGTAATGGACGGCTAATGCAGTAAAGTGCGTCTAGTGAGCAGGTGCTACCTCGCTAGTCTGTCCTCTATTCGACCGCTTCTTTATTTCTCAGGGACTGCAAGGGCATGTGCAACTGACATGAGGGCAGGTGTGGTAACCTTCGTCTAGTGCAAGTGAAGCGGCGCTTCCTCCGGGAAGTAATCGGCCTCTCGCTTCTCTCTCCCCCTAACCCCACACCTTAAGTTGAGGACCACGCAGGACGTGGTACCTCTCGTTCCATTGCTCCTGGGTGCTTTTCTGCACAGCTGGAGGATGGTCCACCGCTCTTGGGTGTCTTTTGCTACACAGCTGGAGGGTGGAATACCCTAATCCTGCTACTGGCCTTGGACCCTGCTCGGGTAGCCGGGCAGTAGTCACTCCGTTCCTGGGTCTTTGGTGACAGCTGGAAGGAGTGTCCGTCGCGCCCAGCTGAGGAACAGTCCCCGGCTGGATCTGGGCCCTTGCAAGGGCAGCTGATCAGCCTTCCTTCCCCTCTGTCGCTTCTGGGGGCTTGCGTGCCCAGCTGAAGGACAGTCCTGAACCCTAAATTTTACGCCTCGCCACATCTTGGACTACCACAACATTACTACATTCTGGACTACATCGACAAGCTTTGCAAGCGGGCATTGCAGCCCACAGGGTTTTGTGGTTTAGTTTGGGTTCGTTTAGATCTTGGAGCCCTGGCGCGGCTTTATTCCACTGCACACAGCCGCCCCAAGCTGGGGCTGTGTGTGTGAACCTCCCTAGCACATGGGAGCAGAGGGTCACTCCTTTCCGTTGGATCTGACACATTCTTGCAATACATTTTCACTTAAACACATGAAAGTTTGCAGGGGACCACCGAGGCCTCCGGGGAGCGGTGGTCAACGAAGACCTTCCCGGAAAGCCTGTGAAAACGTACCTGCTTTTGCCACCTTCATTGCACCTGGGGCGGTCGTGCCAGCTGGTGGATGAGGAGTGGAAAGACAACGAGGACGAGGACAACGACGACGAACTTTTCATATGCACACCACAAGCATACCTGCGCAACTTTCGGCAGCCCCCTGTGGTGCCAAGATTAGCTCAAGGACAGGCCCCCTGTGGTGTCCAGATTAGACAACAACATACAACATACTCTCCTCTTCTTGCTCTCTTGGCCGAATCCATCAGTGTGTGTGTGTGTGTGTGTGTGCGTGTGTGTGTGTGTGTGTGCGTTTGTTCCCGGATATGTCTTTGAGACCCCTCTGCAGGGCGAGGGCGGGAACGTTTCGCCCCCGACCCCGCCTTCGTCGACGAACGCGGAAGCGGGGGCGGAAAACGAAGGCCGCTGACAGTCGGACACAGTCGGAGAGCCCTAGTGCACTCCGCCTTTCGGCTTTTGTTCAAGGCTCAAAGAAGGAGGCGGTGGAGGAGGGAGATGCCGAACGCGACCGGCGATCTGTTGAGGACCACTTGCGACAGGTGCGGCAGTGGGTGGATCGGGAAGCGTGTGGAGCTTTGAGCGCGCAGGCTTTGGCATGGAAAAGAATCGGACGCCCTTTCCATCCGCACCTCGAGGTCCACCACGTCTTGATGTGTTGGTGCCATGCATTTCCCTGACGATTGACGGCAGGTGTGAGCGAGATTTCTGTCAAAGCTGAAAAATCTGAAAAAGTGGGGCGCGGCTGGTTTTGTATTGGCGGCACCTCCTATATGTGAGACGGGTTGTCGTGAAATATCTCCCCCTTTTGCACAGACCTGGGCCCAAACAGGGTGGGCCCGGGACGGAGGGAGCAGGAGCGGAACGCGTTCCGCACCATGGCGCCGCGGCCTTGCTCTGTCCAATTCAGGGGCGAAAAAGTGATACCGAGCCGGAAGGAGGGTCGGAGGGTTTCTCTTGTCCCAGGCTGGTGCCCGGAGCGTCTCCAAGCGTGAGCCTCAGCATTCACTCGAGAAGAGCTGATCAGATGCGCTTCTATCCCTCCCAAAACATACCGTACGTAACGGCCATGACATACACCTTAACGAAGGTCTGCACAGAGGGACTGGAGTGTTGGAAGGACCAGATCTGCTGCAAGGAGGTAGGGAAGAGGAAAAGGAACGGAGCCCAGCTCTTGCTCATGAACGGTCTAAAACCTGAGAGGTGACGCGAGCGAAGGGAGAGAGGGAGAGGGAGTGCAAAACGCGGAAGTCTGCGTTGGGCAGCCTTGGAGCACAAGCCATGCTCTGCAGGTGGAGGAGTTATACTGTACACTTCCATGGGAGAAGTGGAGGCTCTGGGAATGCGTACGACTCCATCAGATAGCTTTCGACTGAACGTTGAGGTCGAGCTGTATTGGAACCATGCGCCCAGAACCTGCAACTCGTCAAAGTGGAGGCAAGAAGACGAAGGAGGTATGAGAAGCGCTCGAGGCATGAACTTCTTCGAGTTGGCCAAGAGGAGCTACTATGCAACTCGTCTGAAATCACGCTTTCTCCCTCTTTCAGTGACTTATCTCCTTTGAGGATAACACACTCTTCCATCGGATTGTGACGAATTTTGTGATCCAGGCCGTCATCTGTGCAGAGAGGGGGAGGGAGGGAGTAGGGACCCTCAGCGCCGCTTTGCCTCAGGGAGGAGATCCGACTGGAACTGGACGTGGCGGCGAGTCGATCTATGGCACGACCTTCGAAGACGAGATCCATCCAGGTGGAGCTTTTCTTGGGGCACTCCTTCAAGCCTTCCTTGAGCAGAGATGAGGCCTGAAGCACACCGGAGCCGGCATCCTTTCGATGGCGCCCGGGCCCCTAAACGAGATGTGACAGGGAAGGGGGAGAGTTGGACACGCGACTGGGCGTGGCTGGGCAAGCAAAGCCCAGTGCGGAGGGCTGCTGGCTGCCGACATAAAGCCCTTGCTGCAGACTTATGGCAGGACCTCCACAGTGAGATGAAGTAGCCACCTTCACTTAAAGGGTCAAGCTGCAGTGTTTGCTCGCCAGTCCCAAAGTGTACCGCTCCGACTGCAGATGGGGATGCCGTGGAGATGTATAGAACTCCTGTCATGCTGCGTGCACGGCATGTTGTGCCGCCCTCCCGAATTGTTCCGAACAAGTTGCGGCCGGCTTGGAAGCCTTGGCCACGACACTCCCAATCCTCATGAATGCAGTGGTCTTGATTGAGGAACTCTGGGCCGGACAGCAATGGCGCGGCTCTG